CCCCCCCCCCCCCCGCTAGAGGAAGGGGGCCAGGTGGGCTGCCCGGCCCAGGCGCACTCGCCCCCGGATCCCACCTCCTCGCCGCGCCCATACCCGTCCGTTAAATGAATTCCGACCCCTGCCTTTCTTCCCCTTCCACACTTGTCCCACTTTTGTAGTCCCGCAAGTTCCTTCGCCAGCCCACTCCCAGGTGCAGGCAGCTATGCCAGGCACCCAAATACTGCCAGGCCACGCCCTTCCCTCCTGCAGCCGTCTCCGATCTCTCCAAGAACCTGCACGGGCCCGGAAGCATCGGTCCGGGCGTCCTGCTTCCAAGTTTCTTCCGAGGGCAAGACGCAGAGGTTACTCAGCACTAGGAGAGGGCGAGCAGCACGCAAACGCTCCGCCACGGGGGAGTCTAGATTCTAAAACTGTGGGGTGGGGATATTTAGTTACCAACGTCCGCAGGCTCCATTACCTAAAGCAGGGAGTTGGGACTGCGCAGCGGAACTCCGGGAGCCGGGGTTTACGGCCGGTCCCAGGAGAGGGTGGGGTTTCCCCCAGGGCGCGGCTGCTCCTGGAAGCGTGTGGGCAGCGGCCCGGGGATGGTCACAGGAGGGAAACCCAGGGATCGAGGACCGTGTGTGTGTGTCTCGGAGCCCTGCCCGGGTACGGTGGTACTATACCTGCACCAGTGTCCTAACTGGAAACCCGCTGGAAGATGCTGCGTGGGAGAACGAGCCGCGGCCCCCGTCGCTCAGGCAGGGCGCAGGGGGACGAAGGCGGGGTCCCCCAGAGGCCGCGGCCGGGGGGCTCCGCCTCAGTCCCGCAGCTTGCCCGGCGTCCACGCCCCGACCCTGGCACTCGGGTGCTGGCCCCGTGCCCGCCTGCCCCCAGTCTCCCTGATGAACACCTCTTTACCCTGCAAGAGCCAATTCAAGGCTCACCTACTCTGTGAGTCTTTCTCAGACTCTGCCGGGCAGGAGTGAGCGCCCCTGCAGCTAGGGCGCCCCACCCCGCCGCAGCCCTGCAACACCCAGCCCTTGGTAGGGCCTTTCCCCGGCGACTCCAGGAGGAAAGGTGGATCCAGGGAGGCGGTGTGCGCAAGGCAAAGGTGCCCGGGCTCGGTTCCAAGCCTGCGCCCACCACTTCCTAACGGTGCAGCTCTGAATGAGCTACTTAACCCCTTCGTGCCTAATTGACCCATCTGCAAGATCGGGATAAGAGTAGTGCTTTATGAAGATTAAGTCTTTTTTTTTTTTTTTTTGCGGTACGCGGGCCTCTCACTGCTGTGGCCTCTCCCGTTGCGGAGCACAGGCTCCGGACGCGCAGGCTCAGCGGCCACTGGCTCACGGGCCCCGCCACTCCGCGGCATGTGGGATCCTCCCGGACCAGGGCACGAACCCGTGTGCCCTGCATCGGCAGGCGGACTCTCAACCACTGCGCCACCAGGGAAGCCCGAAAATTAAGTCTTTTTAAAGAATAAAATGAGTTAACACCAAGTGCTTAGACTAGTACTGGCGCGTGGTAAGCTCAATAAACGCTAGATCCCGGTAACAATCTTTGACTTCCCCACTGGCTCTGAGTCAGTCCCAGGCACCCCACACTGCCTCATTCAACTGTATACCCGCAACTCCAAGCCCAATCCTGGTCGGTCATATAAACAGTGAAATAATGCAAAGATGTTTAAAGAACACTGCCCCTTCTCCTGCATTACCCTCTCCGAAAGGTAACGGATGTGACAAGCCCAGTGTTGACCCTTTCCCTCTCTTCTCCACAGTCGTTCAGACATATACACTTAGAAGTTTCCCCACCCCGTTTTCACAAACACGTGATCATTCTAAAGCTGGTACTCTGCATCTTATTTTTTTATTTTCCCAGACTGAAAATCTTAGGCCTGGGTTATCTAAATCAGGGATAGGATTCTTTTTAACAAGGCACTGAGTGAAAGATTCAGAACTCCAAGAGGATAGCATTAAGTAATATCAGATGTTAGCTATACAGTATTGCCAGATTCGCAGGAAAGATTGCTGGCTTCAAAAACTTTCCACAAAAGAGTTGAAAGAAATCTGGAT